GAGAACACTACACCAAGCACCTGGCCCGGAACACAAGCAGCCTTCTCTTAGCCAAAACTAAATTGATGGCATCTTCTAAGGAGAAGTGATAAAAAAAAAATCATAAATATCAATAGTCACTTTATAAATAGGATATTCAAGAAAGGAGGCTGTTCCAAAAACTAAGGCAAGTGAAACAAACACATACAATTGCAAGACATGATTATTTTCCCATTCTGAATTAAATTATAAGTACCTAAGCAAGTTTTCAGTGGTTTACTTATTTCTTCCTAAGAACCCCTGTAATATTTAAATGTAGTTTTAACAATGTATGAAACATAGAATGGATATCTTATTTAAAGGAAAACACAAGTATGACAAATATGACAAAAAAATCTACCAGGATGTTAAAGAAAAAAAGGACCTCTAAAAAGAGGTGAAAACTATTCTAATGACTAAAATTGTTCTAACAGTAAAAACTCAGATCTGTAGAAACATTGTGAGTTTATGTATGACACCAAAAGGGCTCAAAGAAATAGCTACAGAAACAAGTCATTAAAGAAATCTATCTAATTTCACTTCCTAATCAATATAAGTAGATACAGCATACACTATACACATAAAATATCCTAGCCCTGAATTCCAAAAACAAATTCAATTCTCTCTTTGTTGAGGAAAAATATATTCTGCACAGGTACACTCATTTATTCCAAATGACCCCTTAGTGGTTATTAACTAGTTTAGTAATCTATTTGGAGACATCACCAGTAATACCAAGAGAATATGTGTAGAAAGATACTCTATTCTTGTCCTTCACTAATTCACACATATTCTGTGCATTCACAATTATTGTTGAGAATCTACTATGTGTAAGGTATTGTGTTAGGCATTGGGGTAGCAACACAGATGAGTAAAAGAGATATTCATTAACTAATGAGGTACAAAGACTGACAAACAAATACTATTTTCGATCCATAGTTGGGAATCTGCGTATGCAAAGAGCTGACAAATTATACGTAAATTTTCGACTGCTGGGATGGTGGATTCCCCTAAGCCCTCTCATTGTTCAAGGGTCAACTGTAATTAAAATTGGAATTAAGGTGAAGAAATATGGGGTGAGAGTGGAGGAAGAACAGAACAGCTATCATACAAATCGCGGCTTTTTCTTATGGCTAAAATTAAAATTAAAATACATTTAAACATTCCTAAAAACCAAGTCATTGCCTTATATAGGTTCAGTGTCCAAATACGTTCCCTTTTTCATTTTGTATGTCCTTATTTTTAAACTTATTGACTTTGCTGCCTACCACATGCACAAAGATGGCTTAGACTAAGTAAGGAATATACATGAATATGCTGCTATACTAGATACCCATTTAAAATTTTTACAAATATAAATTTGAGGGAGTGGGGAGGACATACAAAGTTTTAGTTTTACCTGATGTGGCCTCACTGCTATAGTTATTCCTTGGCTCCTTTCTGCCTCATCTAGCAGCAGTGAGCAGGATATAAGCAACTCTTACCCACTGGCTTCTCTTGGATCTCCCTGATGCTAAACCCTACTCTAGAACTATCAGCAGTGTCAGCTGGTAGCCAGAGGTGGGTGCTGGGCTGGCCCTCCACTGAATGAGAGCCCCTCACCCATCACTCACTGAGTGATGCCAAGGGGAAGAGTCAAGTAATTTACCAATACTTCACAGTATTTATAAACTTGGTTTAGCTTTTGAGCCAAGACAAATATTTCAATAAACAAATATCTAATGTTTTAGCAGCCAGCAAAATTTAGTTAAACTTGACTGACAAATCCACTCACAGCCTTGTCCCAACTTACCTTTCCAGCCTTCTCTCTTGCCATTTTTGCCTATATACTTTCAATTCCTGCCTCACTGAACACTTTCCATATTCCCTGAAAGCGTCAATTACTGTATGAAGTATGTCTTTCCAAAATGCTGTTCCCTCAGTCTGCTTTACTCTCTCTTCCCTTGTCAATTATTTTCATTCAGCCTTTGAAACTCGGCTCAAATCCTGGCTCCTCGGCAAAGCCTTAGTTTACACAGTACATTGCTAAAAACTCGTATCACCATGCTTATCTACCTCCTTATGAATCTGGTCCTTTTTCTGTCTCTTGCTACTAGACTATACGTACTCTGGGAGTGGAAATTTCTGTATCCATTTCTGCTTCCCCAGTACCAAACAGAGTGCCAAGAAAGTATCAATAATTGGCAAATCACCAATACTTTGCTCAAAGTAAGCATTCGATAAGTGTGTCAGTGTCAATAATTTTAGTCAAAGCTTGCTAAAATCTATTTCATCTGCTCTGCTTTCAGAAAACCTGAAAATGTTGCTAAGAAAAAAAAAAGGCCTTTTGGGGAGTCCACTACTAGTTCCTTTTTGGGTTCATCTAATGAGCAGTGAACCTGTTGTTCATCATAGTAAAGACATCTGAACCCTAGAACCACAAGTACTTATGCTTAAATCTCACTTCTGCCCCTTCATAAATTTAACATGGAAATGATCTCGTTTGTGATACTGTAGAAATAACTTACAGTTAAGTATCTCAAGGTTCGGTTCCTTTTTGTACTGTTTTTTCTGTATTCAGAGAGTCCACCATAATATTTATTACGAAAGTATTTTGTGTTAGTCTAAAAACTAGACATACTTCTTACTGGCAATACATTTAAGTGATTCAAGTAAGTCATATTAGCTACTGGTGTTATATGTAAATTTAAAAAATACAATGTACGTCCACAGACATCCAAGTATGGCAGTGCCTCATTTAGCCAGCATATTATGGTTTCTCTTAAAAGAATATAAATTATTTATCCGGCATTACCAAGGAACAAGGTACTTCATAAACCAGATTTTTCTGATAAGTTTTATAAGCATCACATATCTTCAAAATTTTAAATATTCTCACCAGATATATATTACACAATATTATACAGTTCCACTTTTTAAAAAGTCCAGCACACAAATATAACCTCGCTTTTTCTTGATGATTCAAGATCATTATTATCAATGTCAATTACTACACTATGCACCATTCATCCTGTAATGTAATGGTACCCATAAGGGCTATTGATGAATGTAAGGCTATTTGCCTTTATCCTAAGTGGATTCAGATTGTTTTTATTACTCTGCAAACAGTGTGTTCTGATAGTTATTTTTCAAACAATTGTCTATGTGAGGGCTTGGGAATGGTTAAATTCTCCTAGAGAGCTAAGTGCATAGGCTCGGTGACTGCAATTTGTTAGGCAAAGGTCTCTTCTTTCCCTCAATATTTCTAAATCCATGAGGTAGCTGAGACTGTCAGGAGACTAACAACTGAGTAAGTTGTCCAGAAGTAGTGCTAGCCTTCATATGTATGCATTATTGCTTTATTACTTTTACTCAAGAATAGTCAGTCTTATTATTAAGGTAAACCTTAGATTAGATGTCAACTTATTATTTAAATATAAATAAAATTATTGTTTTTAATGAAATCAAAATTTAAAAGCCCAGTCATGAACTTCAGACTCAACTTAGAAGTACTTCAATGTTACCATCCTGCAGAGGGATATTCTTCAGTTATTGACTTAGAAAAATTTCTAAGAATTCACCATTCTATTCCAGCATGATGGCATAAAAACTTCAAATTCTAATTCAATCCCTTTGTACCAAACTCTGTATATGGATAGTTGGTTTCAGTATATTTAATCTCTGTTTCATCAGGAAAACAAGGAGGGAAGGGGAAAATGCTGCCTTCATTCATAAAAAGTTTTAAAAATAGGTAGCTATGTCTATGGAACAAAGAAATTTAGTAAAAGGCATGAAACCTGATATTTTGAAATTCCTATCAAAATTGGTTTAGAATATTAATCCAACATTTGCTTGTGAACTTTAAAAATGAAAAGTTTGTAAAAATTTGAAAGGGCACAATAACAAATATCCACAAACTCTACAAGGCACTAAGATACAATAAAGGGACATCTTGCTCCTCAGGGTTAATCCAAAATTAAACATCATTTAAGTTATTAACTTACTAATGAATGTCTACTTATATATCTCAAAATATCAGTTCTACTTAAAAGGTCATCCCAACTTTTAAAAAAATAGCATTGGAATAAGTAAATAAAGAATATAACATATTAACTTGGCTGAATTAAAAGAAAAATATTTTTTCCATAGAAAAATCTATTTCTATTTTATATTGATTTCCATTGTATCTACAACAATGACAAAGTTCATGTAATTCTTTTCAAGTTTAAAAACAATGAATTTTAATAATATGATTAGAATGTAGGTATATTTCTTGCTCAATAAACAAAGAAAATGGATGAATTAAAATATGGATTAATCAGAGTTTTATCAAAATGGTTCAAACTATGCCTGCAACTGGTGGTCAGCTGACCTGATCACTTACAGCCTTTCCATCTCAGCATTCCATTGAATTTAATACTGAGTCTCAGTACTACCTGTCAGTTTAAGGATTATTTTAAACTGGGATATTTCTTCCAGGATATTTCTAGAGCACTTCAATGGTCATTTAAAACAGACTTAGGCAAAGCAGACCAGATTTCAGAATTAGAATTCACAATTGTTTAAATTCTCTTATAATTTTCTCTGCAACTTTATGAGTCTTATCATTCTCTACTTATGTTCCAGCTTTGGAAAATTAAAAAAAAAAAATCTCACCAGCATCTTTACAGAATTGTTATAGGTTTTGGCCAGTGATTTGATAAAAGAGCATTCTGCAAAGATTTGTACTCTATTGTTCAGAGGAATTTGAATTTGATGTATTTAGTTACATAATTTGGAAGTATCCCACAAGTAAAATTAAAATTCCCTAAAACCTAATAAACCTTACATTTAAAGTAATAGACATTAAGTACAGTTAATCTATAGAAGTTGACAACTCTGTCTTTAACCCTAAGTACTGTAAAGAAATTCTTGAGGAGCAAAATGTTTTACTCCTTAGCAAATATAACTATAAGAAGAAACGACAAAAGTGAAATATCCTTTTAGAGAAGAGAAACACTTACTGGTACTTTGAAGGGTGAGGTATATGCAGTGTCCATGGAGTTGGGTTTCTCGGAGGTACTGGTCCCTGAGATACTCCGTCTGCGAGGGGATCTTTCTGCTGGCACCTCTGAAAAAGAAAGACCATTAAGAACCCAAAATTTAAAATGTGTAACTTAATTGTAAAATTATTCTCACTCCCCACCCCCCCCCAAAAAAAATCAGTTTACTTTAAAGGTGCATTATATTCTATAACCACATAATTTTTCTTTTTATGTCTGTGGTGTTTGAACTATGGAGACACTAGGAGATGGTCACAGGAATCTGCTTTAGTGTGACTGTGCACATATAAAAATAATTTCTTTTAAGCTATTGTTTAATATCTATAAGTTCACTTAATATTTGTATCTTACAATGTATGAATCTACTTCTCTATTTTTCAGCAGCAAAGGAATTAATAGAAATTTTTTACATTCTTGTGAACAAAATATAGTCTAATGTTGCTCATGATTTGAAGGTGCTTGCACAAAGGTCAAAGTTCAGTTCAGTGCAGATAAGATGATTCACCAGACTGCAACCAAAGGGCCATGTGAAGACTGAAAGCTGCTGCCAGGAGAAAATACATATATGCCTATGCAGATATAAAAATAGATCAGCTTCTCCTTGTTCTCGCAATATGACCTTACTAAGACATTACTCTGGAATCCCAAATCTGTTCAAACCACCTAACGAGCTTCAGATTTTGCACATAATGTGATAAATATCCAACTTAACTACTATGCACTACATTAAGGTTACATTTAATTTTTTATAGAGTGATATACATATGCATATTTATGTACATACACACACATAGATGATAGATATATACATATTATACCTTTATCACAACTGCTTCCCATCTCCACTTCAACTGACAGACACATAGGAATCCAGCTTCTCAAATAACATTAGATAATCTCAACATGAACAAGGAAAAAAAACACATCCTAAAAAAAGTATTCTGTATTATCTTCCAGATCTTAAAAAATGAGGAGTAAATCGTGACTCCGGAGACTGACATTTTGCTTCCTGCTGCTCTCCCTTTAAAAGATAGATGCAGTTTAAACTTCCATTTCTGGCCTCATGGCCCCTGGGATCCGTGCTACTTCCACTTAAGAGAAAGCGTTTTTCTCTCGCTCCCTCCCTGTGTCTTGCTCTTCCCCCCTCCCTCTCTACAGCTTGCAGAGAGAGTAAGCGAGAAAGAAACACACAGGACTGCAGCTATTCAATCAATCGCTCTCACAGCACATCCTCATTAGTTATTTTCAGGCTATTAGCAGACGCCCAACCACTGCCTCCCCCCAGTTACAGAAAATTTCACTGTATTGTACTAATCGGCAGCAAGAAAAAAAGATTTACTGAAATTTATATTCAGTTAGTGCCAAAAGGACACCATTTTACACAGATTCAGTAATGCATACAAGTCAATCCCTCCTATGAAAATCCAATTGGAAGTGCTTACCCTATTACTATGTTTGCCTGTTGGATACTGATATGCTTCCCACGACTAAACATCTTCTCTGTGACATCTTGACTAGTGAGACATAAGCCAAATTGCAGCATTCCTAATGACTGGGAGGTTGACAGCAGAGTGCCTTACATGCCTGCAGCAGATGAAAGTTCCTCGCTATTACTGTGTGACCAATAAGTAACTGTAAGTTGCTCAACTTCTCGCTAACCACCAATGGTTAAATGAGCCTTGATTGTACAAAGTCATTTTCAGAATTAGGCACACACAATTTAGTGCACATTGCTAAAAAATAGCAGTATATTTAGCTAAAATTCATGGAATGGCACAAAGCACTGAATTTAAACAAATCAGTTTGTTAAACACATTGAACGAGACCATCAGACTCCAGCAACATGACATTAAAGAGTGATTTTCCAAGTTAGGAAAGTCTTATGAGGGGCAGGCAGTTGGGTGGAGGAGGGGCTGATTAAGGTAGAATATAATCTCATCTGTCTTCTGATGAGTACTTATAATTAGAAAGTACAGGAGGAGCCTGAATGTTACAATAAAATATATTTCAATCTCTGAATTGATGGAGAAACCAAATTATAATGTAGGAAGAAAGTTCCATTAAGCAAGGATAAAATGAAACAGTTTCTTTTAATTTGCAATATTCTAAGAAAAAAAATTAAAACTTATTTCTTCACTTTGTTCCAAACATCTAATTTTATTATTCAGGTATATAAATTCATTAAATAAATATATTTCAATGCCTTTAACTATTTGGGAATTATTGGCTAAAATGAGCAACCACATTTCAAAGTCTAACAAATACGTTATTTGTTTGGTTTATTTTTGCTTGTAGATTCTCTTTCTGTATCATGAAAAAAACAACAACTCACAACTCTGATATAGCTTAAAGAATTTATTTGGGTTCAAAAGAAGAAATTAAATTATTCTTAAAGTTTGAACAATTGCCCCTAAAGGGAAAAGAAAGGATAAAGAATACAAGGTAAATTAAATCAACTATTAAAATAGTAAGAAATCTATACTTCTTGACTTTCTCAACCCCAACAATGCAAAAAAGAAAGAAAAAAAGGCCTTTTAATATCCAGGTTGTTTAGTTCTCAGAAGATTCACAACTATTTCAAAGCTGAGAGAAGAATATATACCCCAGGAACCAATGTCCATTTAGAAACAGGATGGCAGCATCAATAAGAGCAGAATTAACAACTCACAGGGTTAGTCACAGGTCTGCATAGTAAACTGGCCCAGCCACCTTTACTTTTAAGTCTCTAATTAGAAAGGAAAGCTGCTACTATGCTCCTAAAGCTACATTTCTGCTGAGTTGGACCAAAAATCTATAGTGGTTCCAGTAGGCCAAAATTAGACAGCTTTCTCCCCTACCCCCATTCCTGCTATATGCTGTCGCATTATTTTCATCTGCTATAAAAATTAATGATCTTTCATAGTCACAATATTTAATTATAGTCATTTAAAAATATGCTTGCTCTCTAAGGCTGAGACATATAATATTGTTTCAGTAGATAGAGGTCTGAAACATTTTGTTCACGTTCTCATCATCTAAAAATAGTATTTTTCATCTTCAGATTGAAAGACCAAAAAAAGTTATAAAAAAAACCCTTAAGTTTTAAATTTAACTCATCATTTCCTTTGCCATTAGGTATGAATTGAGATGAGGTGACAACTTAAAATAATGAGAGATAACCTCCAATCCAGCCCTACATAGAATGATGTACTGAGCAAAGAGAACATTTGGTTGCTTTTCTTAGCAGCACTATCAACTCTCTGTGTGTCCTGTATGAGCCATTTCACCTTTCCTGCTCTGGTCTTCATTAATAAACTGGGTTATTCAGACCAACCAGCAATGAAAACAAGATGACTGAGTTCATATGCTTTGATGCAAAATTAGCATTTTGGAAAAAAGGGGCTCTCTAAATACAAAATGTAGTATTATAACGTCATTTCCTCAACATGCACATTTTCCTCTTTGTCAATGTGCTTTCTCTGAAAAGTGTGGTGAAGAAATTGACAACTGGATAATTACTAGTATAGGGGCAAAGGCACTTTTGGTGGAGGATGTGCTTGTTCAACAAACAGAACTTCAACCTCTGCCTTTAGAACCTAGTAGTGTTTTCGTGGCCTTTAGTTTACTTATCAGGAAGCAAATGTCCAAAGTGATTCAGGGGTGGAAAAAAAAAGTAAGACAGTGCTAAGGAGATGAAGAGGTATAGCAATTTAGATACAGTGAATAGGTAGTTGCCTTGAGAAGGGGAGTGGGAGACAATACTTAAGAAAGTAAGGAAGTCAGCCTTGTATATTTCTCAGGGAAGAACACTGGAAACTAATGCAAAGCTTCTAGGGTAAACAGCAGCAGGGAGCCCAGTGGGACTATGGTTAGTGAGTGGGACTATTTGTAGCAGAGTGCTCCTATTTGTTTGTAGCTTAGGGGTCTACACATAAAAACTTTAGCTTTTGACTCAAAGAAAAAACGCCAGGTGAAATACACTTCACCCAAAGGTACAAATCACGGAGAAACCCTATGGACATACTCTTACTGACACTTTCTTATTTTCTTTTCAGGATTTTGAATAATGAATGTGATTGAAATAATTCTGCAATATTATGTTTGGAAAGAGAGTAAAAGGAAATGTTTTTATCATATATGTTTGCTAATACATAAATGTTTTAACTGAGGGTTAGTTTCAAAACCTTCTGAAAGTATCAAAAGAGGAAGGTTATCTGCTATATGACATCATTATGACCATACATCTAGAAGCATAAAATATACTATATTTACTTTTTGTTCAATCATATTTAACCAAAATTCATGTCATCATCATGTCATATATGCACATATGTAACATAAATAATGCAGCTAAAAATGTCATGAATTCTGGTAATGTCTACCACTTTTAGGTTAAGTTACAATAGTGTTTTTAAAAGGTAGATAGCCCAGCCGGCGTGGCTCAGTAATTGACCATTGACCCATGCACCAAGAGGTTGCTGGTTCGATTCATGGCTAGGGCCTCCTGCATATCCCACACCAGGGATCAAGCCCACAACCCGGGCATGTACCCTGACCGGGAATGGAACCATGACCTCCTGGTTCATAGGTCAACGCTCAAACACTGAGCTATGCAGGCTGGGTCAGTGGGGGCAAATTTTAAAAAAGGGAATACTCTCACCAATGTGAAAGTCATTTCAGAAAATTCAACATGAAAGACGAACAAAATGTGGAAAGATATTTATATAGTTTTAATTTAGTGGACAATGACGCAAGGAACCAAAATATCTTTTCCATAGCAAATTTCTCTAGTTATGACAGACCAGAAAAACATTACATATTCGCAGATGCAGTCAGTTTGGCATATATAGTATGTCTAAATATTTCACATGAATAGCAACCCAAGCCAATTCCTAGTCATTTTGTTGTTCACAATTATAAAATATAAATGAATGTGAATGCCCTGCCAATTCTAATATTCACAGGCCTCTTTAATATTTTTGATATTATATTTAAGAAATAAGTGTTCTAATATTTTTTTAAAATATATTTTATTGATTTTTTGCAGAGAGGAAGGGAGAGAGATAGAGAGTTAGAAACATCGATGAGA